CAAAGACAACTCTATGAACTTTTGACAGACAGTGGTTCAAACCAGGATATTATGAAGCAAAGCATTTATCCTGTGCTCATATATTGGCAGTATTCAGTATGTGTTTCCTCACTGTGTCTGCTCCACTCATAAGTATGACATGTTTTGGAAATCACCCAGAGGAGACAAATCCATAGAGTATCTAGACTAGAGCTTGCCTCTGGTTCTCAGTTTGAAACATATAAGTTGGCTCTGTGCTGTGTGAGTTGGCCTATTTCTTTCATTAAACAATAATAATAAACGCATACTGCAAAACACTACCACAGTATTTTAGGACCAAAGAGAATTTTGTTAAAATCAAATTATGACATTCAATTAAAGTATTGAAGATTAAGCACTCTTTTGGTCTACTTTGTACTTTGCAATACAAACTTACCTTTATTCAAATGGTATGGATAACAAAACAATCAAATAACCACTGCCTAAACAGCAGTGCCTATCACAATGATCAAACTGAAGAACCCTGTCCTGTGATCCATTTTAAATGATCAAATTGTAAAAAATTAAGTAATTAGACAGAAAAGGTAAAATCACCATAGTTTTACACTGGCCCAGTTGTCCAATTTTAATTATGAAGAAAAGTAATTTTTACTCCATCAGAAAAATCATCCAGTCCTCATCAGTTACAACACTGGCACAAAATGCAAAACATAAAATGGGGGAAAAGTGAAGACACACTGGGTTGTAGCTCCAACAGTTAGTCAATTAGTGAGACACAGCACAGTGCCCACAGAGCAGCAGATGAAAGCCGAGCTGAAATATTCTCTTTTCCTTTGCTGTGTTTTGTTCCTTGTTAGTGAGCTAGATGTCATTACCCAGCACCCCCTGCTCCCTGTCAGGCCTTCTGGCCTTCAGCGTCCATGGGGAGAGCTGAAATTAGAGCTTAAAGACATCTTTACCCTGTCTTTGACTTCACTGTCAGCAGATGTAGACCTCAGGATCGTACAGTGCAGTCCTCACTGGGGAATCAGAGTCATATAAATATGACTACCAGAATAACATTTTATATTCTACATTGCATACATTACAGATACAAGAATATTAGTAAAAAAAAAAAAAAAAGGTACAAGAACAAAAATGCAAAACAAATAACAAATCAAGAGCAAGACAGTAGTTCTATGTCTTCGTCACAAAGTTGACTATCATGAAACAAATGATTGCCATGATCTAAAAAGTGACCAGGAGCCTTTTCATATAGTTACATATGCATTTTTCTGCTCTGAAAATGATGGGAATTCATGTACCATCTGATCTGGGGTATCAGAAACAAAGCATAGAACAAAACATCTTGTGAGAATGTATAGATTTTATATATGTGCAAGGACACAGTAATCCACCAGTGTCCCCTGCTCTAATTGCTCATGAGCAGTGCTTGATTATCTTGACTTTGTTCTTGCCTTTGTGTCTCCATTCACACAGTCACAGCTGGCAGGGCATTGAGATTGACATTGTTCTTGTGTATAGAGCATCATGTTCATAATTATATCATTAGATTGCAGTAAGATAAATAATTTAGCGGGAATAATGAGTATCTCCACACAGCTCCTACTGGGCCACCACAGGAGGCATTTCCTGCTACTGGCATCATTACCCAGAATGCATCTTGTTCATAATTTAATATACTCTGATGTAAATCTTGTGACTAATCAACAGATAGTGAGATCATGCTGATATTGCTTAATATTTGACAAGCAAAACGAACAGCTTTGTATTGTGCAGAATGTTGAATGAGGATATGAATGATATGCATGATGCCATTCTCTGCAACTTATTCCCATACAGCGGTCGTCAGGTGGACTCTCAATCCCCCTGTGTGCTTTTCAAGGCACAGTTTCTCTACAAGCCCCCACAGGAAAAACTCTCTCTCTGTCCACGTATGAAGTCAGCAGCGATGGGCTCCGAATCTCCCCCAACAATGGCAAGAAGGTACTAATTTTTTTTCTCCCCTAATGTGGTACTATAGAGCATTCATTTATGTTTTATTATTAATAGTAATGGTATTTTATACAATAAATCTGAGCTGTAGGTGCATTTGTTCATATTAAATACAATGTTGCTATACCAAAACAGTGCATTTTTTATTATTGGAATATAACTGGTAATAATCTTCCATTGCTTATTTATAATCCTCTGTATCATTTTAAATTCTTTTATTCTTTGACTTTGTAGGTTGAAGTTTACCGCTCTAAGTCAGTAGGCCATGAACCGAGCGCAGATGACCCATCCTCGGGTGGACAAACAGTAGATGTGAATGTGAGCAATGTGGGCATGGCTCTGGACATTGGCATGGGCATTGGGGCAGCAGTAGGTGATACCAATGTGAAGATCCACCTGGAAGTTCTGGAGATCTGTGACAACGAAGAAGCTTTGGACAGTGTCTCCATCATCTCCAACATTAGCCAGTCCTCCACACACGCCCGTTCTCCTTCACTGCGTTATTCGAGGAGAGAAAACCGCTTTGTGTCATGTGACCTGGGAGAAACAGCGTCCTATTCGTTGCTCATCCCCAGCGCGGTGAACACAGAGGCGGATGGCATCAACATCACCATTCCAGACACTGTGGAGGCACATCGGCAAAACAGCAGGCGCCAAATACAAGAAAATACAGGCTATCATGAAGAGATACAGCTGCTGAATGAGGCCTATAGAAAGCAAACTGGGGAAGATGACCAGTGATATATGGAAGAGAAGAAAAAACAAGCTACATTCCAATATTAACAGTATTGTATAAGCTGTTTCTTAAGTTAAGACTGTTACCTATGTTGGTCTACCATTTTTCTTCCCCGAATAATCCCCTGGGGTTAGATATAGTTTTGTAAATGCAGATTAAAGTAATTCAAAAAAATATTTTAAGGTTATTAAGGAATTAGGTTGTGATGTACTGTAAATCTGTCTTAGTGAGAGAAGCCAGACAGAAACTGAATATAGAATTGGTGAAATGGTTCGGCTTCAAATCAACAGCAAATTTCAATTTTTTGTTCTTTTGCCTTTGTCTTCATAAATTGATACAATAGGTATGTACAAAATTGCTAAAAAAAAAAATCTGTCCTTTCATAAGCACTAAAATAACTGAAGAATGTAAAGCAAAGAAAAAATAATATGGAAGAACAGTATTATTGTGAAGCATCTGTATTCTGACTAGGCTTGTGCTTGTCTGTCAATGTATAATAGATAGAGGGTTAGGGGAGGGGCTGAGGTGGTCACATGTCTGATATGATAGTGTCGACGTCATCAGTGACTCAGAAGTAGAGGGAGGGGTCAGCTGACCTGCGCATCTGACTCATCTCTGCTGTGTGTGTGTGTGTGTGTGTGTGTGTGTGCATGTTGTGTGCAATGCATTTTACTCCCTAAAGTAGAGGAGAGGTGTGTTGGCTGTATAAGTGCACTGAATAATAATGTCCCGTTTGTTAGACTGTGCTGTTTACTTCTTTTAAATGAGAGTATTATGTTTCTCCCTCCTGCTGTGTTCACTTTGTTACAAATGTAATGTGGCTGCTTTAAAATAACAGACAGCTCCCTATCAGGACTCATGATAATGCTGCTAAGTGCATAGGAGAGGGTGCCAGCTATTATGAAAATGCTTCATGCTTAAATGAAAACAATTTGCATATATTTTACTCCAGCAGGTAGAAATGAATGTACTTTTTTAGCCACTTTGAGGATCAATTCTGCTCAATTCACTGAGCCACCTGGGTCATCGCCTGGTCTGCTGCATACATTAAACAGGAATAAACCTGTCCATTAGTTGTATTGTATATTTTAGTGCCATGGGCTTTCAATGGACAATGAATGTCCAGTGTTTCTTCTACATGGATGACTAGTATGACATCATTATTTACAGTATTTGCACTATTTCACAAATGTGTGCTTTGCAAATCAGCAATAACAAGATATGTGCTTCTAACCAATTTGTGTATCTTTCCAGCTTCTTCCACGATGACATTTTAACTTGTTTGCTTTTCAACGCCATCCGTATTATGTGAAATGTGTTTGTAGAGCATATGATTGAGCTTTAGACAGCATTTAATCAGCTGTAACATGCTCAGTAAGACTGTGATCATTAAATTTTTGTATCAGAAAAATGTTTCTTAATGAGTCTGCGCATTTAGTATCCAGCACACCTGCAAATGTAAGGTGATTCATGTGGGATTTGACTCTCAATGAGCACAAATCATTTTAGCCTCCAACAGAGCCAACAGTCTAGTGTTACACAAAGATTCCTCAGACCAGCCTAACACAGTGGAAGTAATCAAATCATTCTGCCTCTTCCGTCTTATAAATTATAGGGCATGTATGCTGCTGAAGATAAATATGTTTTGCTTGCCTATGTTGGCAAGGGAAACACACTGACTGATAAAGCTTTACTATACCTATACTAAAATGTTTAGTTTTGTTTTAGGCCTATTGTTATTTATTTATTGTGTTTTGTTTATGCTCCTTGCACTTTGGCAAGCAGAGAACCTGAGGTGTAGGGGAGGGGAGTTAAACACAGTTGGATGTTTTAAGCTAGTGCAGACTACATTCATTTTTAATGAACTTCAACTTATTTTCTGTTTTTTAGAAGTATTTCTGTTAGAGATTATTATTATTATTTTGGTGTGATTCCAGCTCCCACAGATGAATGCTGTCCTTGGGCAAGACACTTAACCCACCTTGCCCCCAGTGTCTGCGTACACTGGTGTGCGAATGTGTGAATGGGTGAATGGGTGAATGGTTCCTTGAAGGTGGAAAAGCGCTATAGAAAAATGTGACCATTTACCATTTATTTATTTATTTATTTATTTATTTATTTATTTATTTATTTATTTATTGCAACAGCAGAATGTATTCTACAAATCTAATTCAAATCTAATTTTAAGACAAATGACAGACTTGTAACACAGGCCAACCAATAAAGCCTGAAGGTACCTCGTCGTGCCGTGTAGTCAGCCAATCACAACATGAATCACAGAACTACAGTTGTCACAGAGATATGACGTCAGAAATTGTGCGACATGCCGGTGGACGTTAAATTAACCAAGCTAAGAGCTTTCCTTCTGTAGTTGCCTTGTATTTTATAAATTTAACACTCACCTAGGAGACATAATCAGATATTGGTTGTGTTATTGGTAAGTACATTTAGGAGGGTGAAACGATAGTGCTTATTTTCGGACGGATTTGCTAATAAACGAGATTGTGAACGCTCATGATGAACAGTTAGCCACAGCGTATTGTCAACATAGCAGACAGAGCCAAATTGACACGCCGGTATGAGTTATGGGTATGGTGGAGGTGGGAGAAGAGGCAGGAGAGGTGGAGGACGCGGCTACAGAGACGGCAGCAGAGAAAGATGGGACCGTGGAGGTGGGAGCGCAGCCAGAGGACACAGCTCCGACCAGGACCAGGAGCGAGGGGGCAGAGGAGGTGGTCAACGGGACCGTCCACCCCCTCACCTGAAGGGCAGGGAGATCGGCCTGTGGTACGCCAGATACGGAGCTGTGAGGAGGAAACAGGCTGACCGCAGATCGGTATGTTCAAGACACACGTGTAATGTTCAAGACTCATTACACTTTTATGTGTAATGAGTGACTGTGTGTGTGTGTCTGCAGCGGGCAGTGGTCCAGATGGATGAGGCCAGGGAGCAGCACATCACTAGACTGCTTGACTCTGTCCAAAGTGATCAGCCTGAACCAGAAAGACTCAACAGAGCTTCTACCTCAGACAGCAGCCACTTCTCTGGTCAGTCTGGACACTGGTAAGTTGTGGAGTATCCTACTTTTACAATAGGGCTGAGCCATATCATATCTCTTATCAAATATTTGTTTGTTTTTGGGGCAATATGAAATACTAATATTAGCATACACACTGCAACTACCACCAGAGCCTAGAGCAGCCTGCACACTGCAGATGCTGTAAACATTTGATAGAGAATGGATTTGTGGATTAGAAGCAGAACTTTTAACTTATGAAGATAACTTTAAAAGGAACAAGTTAACCCTAATAGGGTAAAAGGTACGATTCTGAAGCACATACATTTTTCCCATATCACCCTGTTCTTTTTAGGTATAACGTAATTGTTGCAACTGACTTAAAGCAAATTAATCAGTTTGCTTTTATGACTGAGTACAGTGAACAACTTAAACATTCCTTGTGATAGAACTTCTTGGATTTGCTTTCCATGATTGTTGTTTTTCTAGTGAATTTACAAAGTTTGGAGTTAGCATCCTTTTTAGATTTTGAGATTAGATTTATATGAAGTATTTAGATTGATTAGATTATTACTAGATCACTTTTTGCTGAATGTTGTCAGGTAACAGGATTGATGTATCTGTTTTTCAGCTACTTTGATGGTGAAATGCCTGAGGAAAAGAAACACTCTTTTTTAAAACACAGAAAATCCGATGAAGATGATGAGTGTCTTGAAGATCAAAAAACACAAGCGCAGTCTCAGTGGTAACTACAAAAATAAAATAATAATAAATACTCAGATAACTTTAGTTGTCATATTCATTTATTTTTTTTAGTTCCTTTAAGGTTAAGGATGAGCCTCCCGATGCTTGGGATGAAGAGGAAGTGCAGAAAACAGATACTGAGAGATGGACTGACAAAGATGCAGAGTTTTTACTTCAGGAAATAGCCAAAGACAGCTCTTTGGACATTTTTTTAAAACAAGATCTTCAAACCAAGCGATCAGATCCAAAGTACAAAGAAATGCTGGTAAATAATACATACTATGTAACAACGTGTACAATTAGTTGAATATTTATGAATACCCATATCTTTTTTAATTTAGAATTTTAGAGAAAAGCTCCCAGCATTCAGTAAAAAAGAGGTAAGGTTAATTTATAAAAGTATTTACAGTCAAACCAACACCAGTGTGCATGACCTGTCAAAGATGTGTTTAATCGTTCCCTTTATTCATAAAATGTATCAATTCTTACGTTTCCTTTTACCTGCTCCTGTTTTATACTTTTTAATTAATCCTTTCCAGGAGCTTGTAGATCTAATCAACTCTCACCATGTTCTGGTGGTGAGTGGTGAGACTGGCTGTGGAAAGACCACTCAGGTCACACAGTTCATCCTGGATGATCTTATTGACCAAGGCGTGGGCTCAACCTGCAGAGTGGTGTGCACTCAGCCTAGGCGAATCAGTGCCATTTCTGTAAGGATTCTGAACACAGTTTCAGACATAAAAAGTCCACACACTGTACAGCTGACCCACTTTTCTCTTGTTGCTTGTTTGGCTCAGGTGGCTGAACGTGTAGCAGCTGAGAGGGCAGAAAGTGTTGGAAATGGGAATTCTTGTGGCTATCAAATCCGTCTTCAGAGGTGAGCCTTTTTTTTTTTTTTTTTTTTTTTTTTAATATTGCCATATACTTAGAACAAGCCTAGTCTGAGAAATTGGAGAGGGTTGTCTCAGAAAGAACATTTAGCTTGAAGTGGTGGTCTGAAGTATTAGCATCAGTCCATATAAATTACAATCCTTCGTACTAAATTAAAATTCACAGACTGAACTGCACAGTAATAAAGGTTGTAAAAACATATAAATCACATACAAAATGGTAACTTACTTTATATTCTAGTTTTAATTGTTCGCTGTTATGGCTTACTGAAACAACTGTTTTATCTTTCTGTACCTCTTCTCCAGCCGGTTGCCACGGAGACAAGGCTCTATCCTGTACTGTACAACAGGCATTATTCTTCAGTGGCTCCGCTCAGACCCGTGAGTTCTCTGTTATATCCTTATTTCCTCAAGCTTATCACATTCCCTCTTGGCAATTCTCCCTGTGTCTTAGTTCCAGCTGCCCCGCCCCTTAGCCCCCATGTGTCTGGCCCAGGTCTACCGTCAGGGGGAGAAGCTTCGTAATAGCTTTTCTGTCTTGCACAGAGAAGCGCAAAGACACACAAGCTTTTGTTGATTCACTGAGGGCTTTCTTTTTGCAAACCATTGAGACTTATGGTGCCAGCTTGTCCATGTCTATCGTGCCTTATCTGAATTGGGTTCCCTTTAGACAATCACTCAAAGACCAGTAGCAGACTGTCAAATCTGGTTCACCTCTTTCAATAAAAGCATGTTTGCATAGCTGCAATGTCCAAAGTAAGTTACTTTGGACTGCGTAATTTTCTGTTGAAGTACAGTACAGTTCTGTTGATTTTCATGTTCAGTAATTGAAATTGAGAGGGAGAAATAAATTATATAAGGCCATGTAAGTAATGCAGGATAATTTTCAATTAGGGCATTGGACAAGGCATAAAATATGGATCTTGTTCCTCTTTTTAATTTCTGTCCTTTTCTTTCTCTTCTTTCAGCTTATTGTCAACTATAAGTCACCTTGTATTGGACGAGATTCATGAAAGAAACCTTCAGTCGGATGTTTTATTAGTCATTGTCAAGAACCTTCTCACAATCAGACATGATCTAAAAGTAATTCTCATGAGCGCAACTTTAAATGCTGAAAAGTTCTCAAAATATTTTGGTACAAACTGATTCTTTTTGTAAAAGGTTTATCAAGCTTTTTATAGCTTTTTATTTTATTGTTTGCTTTTTTTTCCTAGGTAATTGCCCAATGATACATATTCCTGGTTTGACTTTCCCTGTTGAAGAATTTTTACTTGAAGACGTTTTGGAGATGACTCGGTAAATTGTCATTTGCTGAGTATTCACTTCTTCTTTTTAGATGTATTGTCAATAACGTATCTTGAATTTGTCAGATATCAACCACGTAATCAGGATCGTCGTTCCTCTTGGAAGCGGGGCTTTTGGCAAGGACGTAACTGTCCACCAGAGAAAAAGGAGAAAGAGGCTGAATATAGAGAGAGCTGGCCTTGTTACGCACGTACCTTACAGGGCAGGTGAGTTGGGGGAGCAGCTGTAATGGGGCTGGTTTTGTGAAGGCAATGTTATAAACAAAATGTATGCTCTCCAATTTGTCCTGAAGAGAGCTTACCTTTGAGTTTATTTCAGTGAAAAATATATCAAGGTTTTGTATGCCCAACTCTGCACATCCATTATTTATTAGGTTAAAGCTTCATGAATTTTGATTACAAAGAATAACAGCACATTTAGTATAAGGAGAAATACTAGCTCCATTTGTCGTAAAGATCAAAGAATAAAAGCATCACACAACCTTCTATCAAATTATGTTGACTTTATATTTTTATAATGTTGCTATAAATTAGAGATATCGGTTGGCTGATATATATTGGGCTGATATTTGGACTTTTTAACATATCTGCCTTAAATCTCTAGCATAGGTCTGCTATTTCATTTTGGTCAATCTCCTACCAAAAAAAAAAAACACACGAGGTTTTATATGGACACTTTAATATGAAGAGACAACTGCACAAAACATGACTACATCTCTCTCTCTGTCTGGGGGAGTTTGGTGTAAATTTAAATTACATCATGGCAGAGCTTATCGGATATTGTGTGCTTTGTATTCGTATCAAAGTCAAAGCCGATTGTTTAGAACAAACCCATATCAATCACTCTCTAGTATAAATCATACGGAATACTCTCAACTTTCTTTTTGAAGGCACCTGAAGCTCTTCTTATAGCACATCATTCTCTTGCCTGAAATTTGACTAATAATCTGTTTATCTGTAGTGTGTAATTAAAAAGTTGAAAACATCTCCTTAAATACCCATGAAACAAGTATTTTACCTCTTTTCTTCTCCTTTGTTGTCTTTCCTGTCAAACAGAGATTTACATTTGTCTTTTTTTGTCTGACAAATAAGATGAAGGATTCAGACTTCTTTTCTTGTACCTTCTTTAACTTAAACCCTTATTGTGCGCAGATACGCTGACAGCACCATTGAATCTCTAGAGAAACTGGACAATGATGACAAGATTGACTTGGAGCTGATCCTGGCCTTGATACGTCACATTGTAAACAAAGATGAAGTAAGTTTTAGGTTCCTTTTTAATATGAAAAACTAATTATATGTAGCACATCTACATATTGTGCATTGTGCATTGTTCATTAACATGTTTTATCATAAAAATGAAAAGATGTTAAACATGACTTTGCGAATGTATGATACTTTTCTCACTGGAGCAGAGGGAACAGAAACGGCCTCCACAAACAGAGCTAGTTCACAGAAAATGACACTGATCTTTTATACTAATGACTGCATTTATGGTTGACTTAACATCTAACTTGAAGGTAAAGTTTCTGATACATTGGTCACTCACAGTTTGTTTGTTTGAGAGTTTGTGAAAAGAGGGAGACAAAATGGATTATAAGAAGGGCATTGAATGAGGAATGACTAACAGAGAAAGACAGAATAATTATCCCAGCTCTTAAAATGTGGTTTCTCCATCAGTCACAGCAGCGTGAGCGGGCCACGCGGCTGATTCGCGGTGGCATGGTCAAACAGGCGCGAAGGAGCTGTCTGATGTGGCGCGGCAGGGTTGTGAACTGAGGACGCACAGCGTCTGCTCGGGCTTCCACTGTCATGATTGGTTAATTATGTTGCTAAGTCTGTGATTAGACACCTAGGGGGCTGACATGCAGGCTTTAATGAACGCCTGCTGGGCCCTTTGCGTGTGTGTGGGCATGTGTGTGCTAAACACTGTCATTATCCTGCATGCACGCTGTAACTGTTTTGTGTGAAGTAATCAGTGTTTTTCAGTATTTTGATGTTCTGTCATTTCTCTTTAAAATCCTATGTACTTGGCAGTCTATGTGGTGTGTCTTATCACCACAGTTACAGCGTACAGTAACTCATGTATTGCACTGCAGCCCATTGTGTCTTGAAAGCTGTTAATATAATTACCTTTAATTAAAAGGCAAGGGGATTCTGAGGGCCCACAACTTCACTTTCTGTTCTACAGCTCTCCTCCTTCCACTCAGGAAACTGCTCTATTCTCAGTGTAATGTTTAAATATAAATTAAATCTTAATTAAAGATGCTAATTTGTGATTTGGGAACTAAAAAGTGTCTGCTACCAAATGAATAAATTCCATTTAGTTACTGATGTCAATGATATGATAATATGAAATGAAAATATATTATTACACTATTGACTAAATAATTGTTTATCTCCATGTTAATGCAATCTTGTATTGTTTCAAAGATTTTTAAGGGCTTGGAAAAAAGAAGTCAAAAAACCTGAACTGCAAAGCCATTAGTGCACTTTCTTGCTCATGATGAAAGATAAAATGTAAAAAACCCACCTCTGATTTTATATACAGTGCAGTGTGGCTTCATATAAATGTTTGCTGGACAGACAGTTACATTAAAAAATGCTGTTTATGTGTATAATTCCAAAGCTCTGTTTTTCACCAACTGTAAAATGTGACTAATTGGTTTCTAGATTGATCACGCATTGTGTGTTATGTATTGTCCTTGGGTTAATTCAGTTTTTAATGTGTTAATGTGTTAAATCTGTGTGTTGAGACAATGTCAGAATGATCCTGGCTCTGAATATAGAGGTTATATGGGCTCAGGCTGTGCTCCTGAGAGAACAAGGCCACCTCCATTCATTTGCAGCTGTGGCTGTGCTTAATGGCTTTTTACTGCCTGGGGATTTGTTTGTTGTTTCATCTATGCTGCCTTAGCGCCTGTCTCTTTCTTAATGATCTCTCTCTTTTCTAGGAAGGAGCGATTTTAGTTTTTCTTCCTGGGTGGGATAATATCAGCACTCTACATGACCTGCTGATGGCCCAGCAGATGTTTCGATCAGGTAAGACTAAGAGGAGCACAGAATTTGAAGAAGTTTTTTGGCGTGACAGTTGTTATTACTGCTTTGTAGTATCAAAAAATGTGTTTGGGTTTTTTGGGGTTTTTTTTTTTCTTTTCATTTTTATTCAAAATTAAGATTGTTATTTTAGTCACATCTTAATTCTTTAATGATTTTTATTCTTCTGATATAATGAACAACCCAGACATACTGGCTTATAAAATACTAAACACAAATGTAACCAAATATGTTCCCTCTGTTTTAAGATTGTTTCATTATCATCCCTCTACACTCCCTTATGCCCACCGTCAATCAGACGCAGGTGAATATTCTTCTCTCTCTGCTTTTGTGTGACCAGGTCTGTCTGTCCTATTGTGAGTCTGTGCTCATCTCTTCCTCTGCACAGGTCTTTAAGAAGCCTCCTCCTGGTGTCAGAAAGATTGTCATAGCCACCAATATTGCTGAAACAAGGTATGATCTTGGCTGTTCTTTTTTATTTTCTTAGTTTTCATTTCTTTTTACATTGGGAAAATATGTTTTATTCACAGTGTGGCAAAAGGCTTTAGTCATTTTCTAAACAGAATATATTCAATGTCATTAGCATATTTTTGTTCGATTGCTTATGAGTGCCATCTTGGCAGTTGGATGAGGCCTTCTTTTGACAGCCAATTTGTTAAGCTTATACAGACCGAGCCAATCAAGAAAGCACTTGCACTTAAATCTCAGAAATATTGACAAAAATGTCATGAGGGCAATTCTCAAAGTAACTATGTGTGTCTTCTTTGATCTTTTTCATCACATTTTACTCACTCTTTCCCAGCATCACCATAGATGATGTTGTCTATGTGATAGATGGAGGCAAAATTAAGGAGACCAACTTTGACACTGAAAACAACATTAGCACAATGGCCGCCGAGTGGGTCAGTCTGGCAAATGCCAAACAACGAAAAGGTCGTGCTGGAAGGTGCGTTTCTTCAACATTTTTAGCTTTCTGTGCTAGAAATAGTTGATGTTTGTGGAATTAAATATTCATTCAGAACTACAGTATATTATAAATAATGTATATGCTAACATTTATTTGACCTGCAGATTTTTCTAACTTCATTCTTCCAACATATTTCTTATTTTAAAATAAACTGCAGCATTACATTTATGCAGAAGTGTACATTTTGTCAGTTTTTTTATATTTATTCAACAAATGCAAATAATTGTGACATATTATTTTGACACTGACAGACTCATCACTGCAATGTTTGTTTGTGCCTCTGGGGATGCCTTTTCTAATCTGGAGGAAGTATTTCATCTTTGCATCTCTGTCTCCTTCGGTCGCTCACACCTACTCATCTCTAAACGCTTAGAAAGTGTCACAGGTCGTTACCGCTCTGACACCACATGTCTGCTCTGTCAGGGACTTCTGACGTCAAAGCAAAGACAGTTAGCAAGCCTGCCTTACTAAGTGCTGTTTCATCTTTAGTTTGTTAAAGCATACTTTTAAACACAACCCAAATGCCAGATGACGGTTCTGTAACTTTCTATACAGAGTGCAACCAGGAAAGTGCTATCATCTGTACAATGGTCTCCGGGCCAGCCTTCTGGATGCCTATCAGCTACCTGAAATCATGAGGACGCCTCTTGAGGAGCTCTGCCTGCAGATCAAGGTTTGAAACAAATGTGGAAAACGGCTAGCAGGGGGAGACAAATGGCAGTGAGTTGCAGGGAGCTGAGCTGAGGACGAGATCACAGAATGAGCTTGTTGAGTGCAGAGGTAGAAAATGAAGGACTATGGGGAATGCATTTTTTGTCCTCTTCTTGAATATTTTATTTCATGCCCTCAGCCCGCCACTTGAGCTCTTCCTACATAATCAATCCTCTGCTACATTTGACTTTCCATTTGAATATACAGTATATTGTTTATTATTTAAAATCCCCCCTAGCCATTCAGGCCTATTTCTTAGGCTCTTGTGCTAATGGAACATAAGTTCAGGCCTCTGGGATTAGTGTTTGCTCTCTCTGGTCTCATAGGATTTTACTGTACATGCTTTCTTATGTAGTGCTGAATTTAGTGAATAGAAAAGATTTGATGTGGATAGAGCATAGCATGGCCAGTTCAAGATACCGATATGTGCTCTACCCAAATGCGGGCGACAATCAGTGATAACACACTGGCTAGTACACGGGCTAACATTTTTTTTGATTTTCTAGATATTGAAGCTTGGTTCCATTGCCAGATTTCTACAGAAATCCCTAGACCCTCCATCTGAAAAAGCTGTGACTCTTGCTATCAAGAACCTTACGGACCTGGTAAGAAAATTATGTTGTCCACATACTGGAATAACTAACTAACATTATTCTTTTTTATTAGAAAATAATTAGAGATACAGTTATAATAGAGATTATTTTTATAAGAGCCTTTACATTTTTGATACAATACCTTTTTATCTTAGAATGCCCTGGACCATTCTGAAAACCTGACAGCACTGGGCATCCATCTGGCTCGTCTTCCTGTTGAGCCACACATTGGCAAACTCATTCTGTTTGGAGCTTTGCTGGGCTGCCTCGACCCCATACTCACCATCGCTGCATCCCTTAGTTTCAAAGACCCTTTCTTTATCCCTTTGGTGAGCTCACACACACAACAATGACACCAGACAGTGCTTTAATCTACCAGCTTTTTCTGATTTTTTTTTTTTTTTTACTGGCACATGTCAGGGCAAAGAGAAAATGGCAGACATGAGAAGAAAGACCCTGTCCAGAAACTCTAAAAGTGATCATCTCACTATTGTCAATGCCTTTAAGGTGAGAAAACGACTGCCAATGCTCCCCTGACAAACTAAATCGTCTGTAATAACCATTCATTGATTTTCCTTTTTTCCAGGGCTGGGAAGAAGCCAAGCGGCGAGGTGCAAGGTATGAGCGGGAGTTCTGCTGGGATAATTTTCTCTCTGCCAATACGCTTCAGGTGAGACGAGCCTATTTGCACCTAAATTCACAAAATCTTTTCCAACTCTTATTCAAAACTTATTTTAGACTTTTGAAAGTGTAAAATTTTATGCAGTTGTATGCTATTTTTCAGATGCTTCACAATATGAAGGGTCAGTTTGCAGAGCACCTAATGCATGCTGGGTTTGTAAGCAGCAAAGATCCTAAAGATCCCAAATCCAATGTCAATTCAGGTGGATAACTTTATATTTTTTACTGATGGTGCATTTTACAACAGAGAAAAAATGTTTTATTTATAATTCTACTTTTGTACTGACCTTTTCAGGCAATGATAAGTTAATCAAAGCAGTGATTGTTGCTGGTCTCTACCCAAAAGTGGCAAAGATTAGACCTTGTCACAGCAAGAAAAGACCGTAAGTGCAGTGATCCATACACAAAAATGTGGTCCAATGGATTGTAAAATGAGCTCCAAAAGTTCATGTTTGTAGACTTAAAATGTGAGCCTTTCTTTCGATTAGTGCAGGCATCACAGAAGCACCTTGAGGCGGTTGCACAGACTAGGAACAGTCTAAAAAATTTATAGCTGCAACCTGGAGACCGTCTCAGATAACTGGCACTTTTAATTCTTCATCTGCATTTCATCCTTTGATTTCTTTTGAATTTTAAACGTTAAGAATTTTCTTCTCTCTTTTTATTCAGTGGTAAGAGTTACGTATTCTAATGATACTTGTGAATGCCCTTGGTTAAAATTGTTTACCTGGAAAGATGAGATTTATATGAAATATAAATGAGCTTATGAAATGTAATTAAACTTCTGTCTATTGTTTATGTGATAAGAAGTAAGAAAGACATAAAACTGATTCTGTAGACTGATTTTTATGTTTGCAGTATGTAATGTATTGGTGGTTTTCAGATTCTAGAAAGTGATTGTGTCATTCTTCCAGATGGGGGCAAGAACCAGTTTTTCCTATTAATTACACTATACTTTGCCACAAAATATCGCAAATGTACTTTCCCAGATATGGAACCTGATCATTTCTATTACTGACTAGACCCAAGACCATATATATAAACAATATTAATTTTATCCGCCCCCCATCTGTATTAAATAATATTGGCCTAAAGAATGCTTTGATGTCAACTCATCAGTTCTTGAGTAACAATGGTTTTGAAATTGATTTGCTAGGTAAATATCCAGTAAAGTGAATATTAAGAAATAATAAATAAAAATCTGCTTATATTCCACAGGGTTAAAGTGTACACGCATGCAGATGGGAAAGTTTGCATCCACCCAAAGTCTGTGAATGCTGAGGAGACAGAATTCAACTACCACTGGCTCATTTATCACCTGAAGATGAGGACCAGCAGTGTGAGTAGACAGATAGTACCTGTATGTTTCAGTTTCTGGAGTTTCATGGGTCTAGTCCATGTGGCTCTGTGTGTCTGTTTAAAAGTCTCTGAAAGCGCCTCATTGTTATTGAGAAGAACGGTCAGCGAGTAAAGGTTGGCCTGCACACCAGCTTTACACTGAATGAATATTAGATTAAAACAGCCTTTCAAGTCCATCTCAAAGGCTCTTATGCATCAAAGTGTGCAGACACATTGTGTGGGGGGTCACTGCAGGCCCATCCTCTTCCTCTTTTAGCTCTCCTTCCACACATGCACCTGTCTGTGTGTGCACTGTGCTTCTTTGTAAATGTTACCATTCCACACAAAAACACTCCTTTAATGTCCTGCCTGATGCCTCACTGTGCTTTGTTTCCATCTGTAACTACAGGAAATGTAACTTGTTTTTAACAGTATTTATAGATTAACCTCATACATGTGGAGTAATTGGTAAAGTAAACACAGCTTATATTTCGATAATGGTTAAGACCATACATCATTGTACAGTATATATTTTGGTGAGATTAGATTCATTTAAAAAGGAAAAGGAAATGCTTGCATATGAAATGAAAATAGGCATCTGAAAGACCATTCTGTCTCAATAAACTATGGCTCTTAATGAAAAGGGTTTTGAGGAAGTTTGATTTTGAATCAAGGTTTTACTAATTAACTTAAGCTTAAAAGTATAAATTTGTCAAGAGTGATTCTTGTACAGATAACATGACAAACTGGTGAGTGCCACCATCAGGGCACCATGACATTTGTGAGTGAAGCCCAAACCCACCCCATTACTGCAGACTCTAATGGAACACTTAGGCCCAAACCACATTGGAGCTGTCGCCACATCCTGTCATAATGATGCTGTCTGTGTTTGCCCTCTGGTGGGGTTGTTGATGGTGGGAGAAACTTGTTTTTACCTATCTTTAGATTTTCCTGTATGACTGTACCGAGGTGTCTCCCTTCTCACTCCTGTTTTTTGGAGGTGACATTACAATACAAAAGGATGGAGACCAAGAAACCATTGCTGTTGATGAGTGGATTATTTTTAGATCACCAGCACGCATCGCTCATCTTGTCAAGGTAATTTTACGGCATTATTTTTCAAATATATGATAAAATAAGATAAGTATTAGATCTATATATTATAAGAAAGTAAAGGCCTTTTAAAGTTTGAATAACCTTGTGTTAGATGGACTCACAATTTAGCTCGGGTGTATTTGTCTCTTTCAGAGTCTGAAGAAAGAACTGGACTCACTATTGGAGGAGAAAATCCGTAATCCTGCTCCAGTAGACTGGCAAAATCGTCAGTCTAAAGACTGTGCTGTCATCACTGCCATTATAGACCTGATCACGACCCAGGACAATCCCACAGGAGGCACGGGGTTTTACAGCAGAGCGGAGGAGTCTGGCCCCAGAGGACAACACCTTTACTTCAATGATGATGACGACGATGATGACTAGAAGTGATAACACTGTCTTTATGTTTTAGAGTTGAAAATGACAGATCTCGGCTTCTGGCTGGAAATTACACAAACTGTTTCTCGTATCATATTTTGGGTGTGACCAAGGAAGCAATATAAATGTACTTTTTTTTTTTACACACACCTCAATACTGACGATGTTTGCTCATGCATTTGGCATGGATTGTTTTCCCTTTGTATGCATCAGTGTTTGATACACACTAAAATATGGGGTGAAACCAACTGAAATCACCTAAAATAACCAGTGTAAATACTTGTTACATTAATCAATCATCAGATTAATCTCAGACTAAGCAAAACATGAGCACCTGTTCTTCAGTGGTGATACAAACACTACATTGAGAGCAGCAGTTTTGGATATGCATTTAACCCCTTCCATCTAAAGTCAGTCATTATGAAACTGTCTTTAAAACTCCCTCCAGCTTTTCTAGTTTTCGTCCAAAGAGGAAATGTACACTTATCACGCATGTGTATTCCACCCACTAGTGCCAACATGAAAATCTGTCATTCACATTCCCTGCCAATGATCACATGTTTATTAATGATTAACGCATACTCAGGAGCCTTCAACCTTCTATCCAAACTGCCTCTAGGCATATTATGTCCCTGTTCTTTACATGTGCTTTAGGGTTTGTAGATAAGAATCATCTTAGATTCACCATTGAAAACCACCAGAGACCACAAGAAATTTTTTTTTATTTTTTTTTTATTGTAGCAGCTGATTATTAAAATATATGGAGTTGACTACACATCTTGCATATAAAGTTTTGTTTAAAAATACATACATGTAGCAATACAGATTCCTATACATATTTACATGCACATAGGTTATTTACACAACATATACACATGGGTTAATTCATGCAAAGTATATTTCCCTGAGTGAAACAGTCTCTGGAGTAAGATGTCCGACCTCAGATTCCTTTATGAGATGTCCGTGGAATAATGGCTTTGATCGATGGTGCTATCACAAAAGTCTGACCACACCATTAATTTCCCTTTAGCCACTAAAAAGATGAGTCACCTGCTGGACAGTAACTTCAAAAACAGGGCTGGGCTGGCTCACTCCTCTGTCACCACCAGCACAAAGTCATTTCATCTCTCTCCAAAAACATTGCAAATAAAACACTCCTCGGCCTCATATTAAGGCCCTGATATTGGACAGACATTTCTGTGTCTTCCTTAACACCTTTTGTTTTGTTATTGTTTCTATCTCTACTAGTGCCAGCAAAGTTTCTTTACTTGCCCACGCATTACAGAGGAGCTGCCAGTCCAAATTCTATTGATCTGTTTTGCTAGATTTATGGAATAAACAAAATTGTCTTGTTTTTATGAAGCCGGTTCCCCATTACCACACTCAGCTAAATTCTCGAAAATAAAAATCTGACAAATCTTAGACTGCCACTTGTTAAAAGGTGTGGAAGCTGTGACTTTGTTGGTGGGTGTGAAGTTATTTCACTTGCAGATAAATAATGAATTTGGCAAAGCCTGCTGTCAGCTCCTGCTACCCACACAAACAGCTACCCTTAATTAAGGGAAACCTCTGCCTACTTGTTCAGCCTTTAATTTACGCCTGTTTAGAGAAAATTTGCTTTATTTTTCTTCTAAAACAGCACTCCTTAAGCTTCAGCCTTGGACCTTTGGCCTGGTTAACTTGGTTCTGAGACTGCTGTCTTGGTAGCGATTACTTAAAGGGCTGAAAGGGAAAGTTGTTTTACATCCTCTTCCTTTCACACATTGGTCTCCAGCCCCTGTAAGCGGTCCATCCTCTGCATGTTTCGCTCAATGGTAGCCTGGCATGTGATTGGCTGGGTGCATTCCATGAGGAACCACCCCCTCTCCCCATCACGCAAGCGCTCCCCCTCATACCAGCCTAAACGAAAGAAATATCACGTGAACATGTGTTTCTCCAGTTTCAGTGTTTGATGCAAAGAGTCATCTGTTCTTAACATGAAATGTGCTGCTATGATGTTGCTATGATCAAAGACATGGAAAAGGTTACAGGGTTTATAGCTTCACATTAGTTCGGACACATACAAGAGTAATGAGGGGCATAAACATCTATAATGAGAATGTGTGGGAAACAGAGAATCCTATTTCAAAGTTAAGGAGATGTGGGCTTACCATCTACTGTCTGTGAGATCAGAACCACATCTGCCACCTGCAGGGGCAACTCATCAGGCTGCTTAGCTGTGTACGTCCTGATTACCTCCACTTGCATAGCATCTGTAAAATACATGATAATAAAGATAAGAATGATGTTGGGTGGCATTAACATACCCTTTTATGAGGAGACACTGCAGCCAGAAAAACTAATACATTAAAGATTTTTTTTCGGGATCAGTTTACTCTCCTAACATGTATGATTTAACATGCAAATAAATTGTCCAATATACAAATCTATTATCGGTACTTTTACTTAATGAAGTTGCCAGCCCCATAAATATCAATTAATTGAAAAAACTTGCAACTCTCTCTATGTGTTTGGGTTTTTTTTTTTTTTGTCTTTCCAATTCACCTGCAGTTTGTCAGTTGTTTCACCTTAAGCCAGCTGCCACTAGAGGGCGCACTCTGCTCGGAAAAGATGCGATTCTTGTGCCGCGCACATGTAACTTACTTCTATCAAGGCTCTTCTTGTTGACACTCTGTCCCAAGGCACTGATCCAGCGAGCACGTTCATTCCTAAACACAGACAGAGTTTGCTAAGCTATCCTATTAAGCTGTATTATGTGCACATTTGACAGTTTTTGCTGACAAAGAGTTTAAGCAGGTTTTATTGATGCATTAAAAAGCACATAAGAAGGCAACAGCACATTGATAATTTACTGAGGATACCCCTTGCTAAGTGAAATGGAGGACTTTGTTTGCTCTAGTTGTACTAGTGAATGGTTTTATGTCTATGCATGATGGTGTTACTCCTCAGTATAAAGTGCCAATTTTCTACCCTGTCTAAAGCAATGTAAAATCCTTAACAGCAAGTAAAACAAAATCGCATCACATTTTAATAAATAATAGACTTTCAATAGACTTTCAAAGGGAATATTCAGGCTTTAGAAATCTAAGAAGCTCTTTGGACAGAATGTATAATTTGGCCTCCACTCCCTCTTTCTGCTCCTGTCAGAGAACACAGGTGCATTTTCAGCACAAAGACTAATTCTCTGGAGAGGACAGACCTGCCTGTTTCTCCTCTGCTCTCTGTATTTCATGAGAAAGAAGGGGGCGGAGTCACACAGGTCAGATTCCAGGAAGCCTCAGCTCCTGTTTCACCTGCTCTGTCCTCCCCACAGAGAGTGAGAGAGAGAGCAGATCCATGGCCACAGGAAATGAAAATGAAAGGATCTGGCCCATAGGCAGCATCTCAGTGACTCAAAGGTTTGGTACTCTTGTGTCATTAGCGTCAACCCCCTATTCAGACCAAATTTGCCCTGTGAGTCACTCTTTTAAGGATTTCTTATTGTTCAAGCGCTATTCACATTAAATAAGGTGTAAAATTTTGGGTCAATGTTATTAGTACTCATTTCAGGAAATGGCAGGTTCCAAAATATATTCTTTGAAAAACATTTCTATAAAGCATAACCTTGTCTGTAACTGAAGTTTCTAATGGATAAATAAAGATGTTTTGGTTTATTTGATTGAAGATATGTATATAAGTGTAGTACACTAGCATTCACTAAATGATAGCATATACAAGTGTGTGCTTTTTCCATACACTGACAGAATGACTTCAAAACAGTTCGTGTGAAGCAGTCTGATGTGTTCTGTGTGGTTAATGTGTATCTAACATATGCAGTGATCCATGGGAAGAACAGCTGTGTGCTGAAGCTGTAGACAGCTGCAGTCATATGTGTCTGTCCATATAGACAGGCTCTCTCAGGCAGCTGCATATGTATGTACAGTACTACAGTCGTCCTTGTGACTGTCAAACAGCTGAAGCGCCTCTGTCAGAGCTGGGGCTCACAGATGAACAAAAGCACACCCAAAGAACCACAAGTGTTAGGAAGACACTTAATGGTTATCAGTGGAATGTCAGCCACATACCACTCAGAGTTCAATCAAGTCAAACAGGGCTCATCCCAGTTGTGGCTCTATTGGACATACTGCTGTGTAGTGGTTGGAAAGTGGGAACAGTCATTTTAAAATTGCAATCATTTGATCCAACATACATACAGACTTCTGTGGCAATAGCTGCCCAACAGCAGACAGACAGAGGTGCGACTTCTGACCACTACCAAACATACATGGAGATCAGTGAACACCTTTAGCTGACCTTTGAACTTTCAGCCTTCAGTTTAATGGGCAACACACCTTTGTCTTATATCTCAACTTTTCATAGATGCTTTGCTGCCAGATCAAATTGATAGTAATTATTTTGGAACGCCAACGCCTGAGCTGCAGTTTATGCTTATATGTACACAAATGTTGGATACTTTCAGTTCATTACATCTTTTAGCAGTATTTTACACAGTGTCCCATCCTGTTTTTGAATAGTGCTTTATAGAATGGGCAGCAGGTGCCCGTCCACTTCTTCATCACATGCCCTTTATTATGTTAAATCTCCTTTGGCATTGGAGCATTTCTTCAAAAGAGCGAGAATGTCAAGCATCATAAATCCCTGCTCTGGTTTCTTATTTCACATCTGAGTAGTGGAGGGGCCTCGTTGTGCTGTGAAACCTCTTCCACCAGGAAAGATAAAGCGTGTTGACAGTGTATTTCTGACCAGGCTTCCTCTGCCAACCCCAAATCACCACCAGACCACTGTTTTTCGGTCTCATCTCTCACTTCTCCTGCCTTCCTGCTCTCCTCTATCACTTTGTTTACTCAACCCGAAAGCACTCCCATGTTTTTCTTATGCACATTACACTTCCAGAAAATATCCCTAGTGCTTCAACATTCAGACGTTTTCCATCAATAACACTCATATTCTAGTGAAAGTACAGACAGAGAAAAGACCAAAATAATCACTTAACCAAATCCAGACAGTCATATGAAGCCGAAGCAAGTACATTTTCACTGTTATGTAACTAGTGCAGACTTTGTTTTGCAGCGAACTTCTGTGGCCGCTCTGTTCCACTAATAGAGGAGGCCTATTCAGTGATGGTCCGACATGGTCATACTAAACAAAGGGTGAGGAAAGGAAGAGGACATGGAGTTACAATGGAGGAGAGTCAAAAGCAGAGACAGTGTCTGAGAGGCAACACACATGTCTTTGTGCAATCTCGGATCCAGCTGCCCGTTCAGATTCTTTAACTATGTCATCATCAGAACTACAAATCCCTTTTAACTGGAACTATGTAAATACAGGGGAAGCTTACTTATGGTGTATAGTGACTTTTTTTTTTTTTCAATTTGATGTCAAGTTGACATTCTTCTATTGAGTGTTTAATTCTTTGAGATACCTAGCACAGCAGTGGGCAGATGTTGCAGAAATGTTATTTAGAAAATATGTACAATTTGAATATCAAGTATGTTATTCACATTTTTTAAATGCTGCAAAAATGTAAAGAAATAAAAAAGGTATGTTGCAAATTTCCAAATAAAGTGTAGAATGTGATAATTTTACAGTCACTTCACATTTGTCTGATACTTGAACATTAAATGGCAAATGGTCCCATTTTTTATACAGTGCTTTTTCAGCTTTAAGGCACCCACACACTTTTACATCAAGGAACCACTCACCCATTCACGCACACATTCATATACCAGTGCACACAGAGACTAGGGGTGAGGTGGGTTGTGTCTTGTCCAAGGACACAATGACAGCATTCATTTGTGGGAGCTGAAATCGCACCACCAACCTGTGGGCCAGTGGACAAATGCACTACCAACTGAGCTACTGACATTAATACATATATTAACACACTTCTATTGTATTGACATAATATTCTAATAAAATATAATCAAATATATTTTGAAGTGTGACTAAAATACAGACCCACCCACACTCAGTATGTATGGAATTTCCCACAGAGCTGCTTTTTGCTCATGTGAAGAGAATATAATGCGTAGTGCACATGGCATGTAGAGTGGAGCCGAGCACTGTAGGACTTTTTCATGACTGGATTATTTCTGTGAACTGTTCCAGTGTGGTCCTCTATCCCTCTCAGGGGCCAGCACTATGAGCTGCTGCATTGAAAAAAATGTGAATATGTAATATATGTTTCAACAGAAGTTGCATTCTTTGTTTTTTGGAAGCGGACGGGTTGTAAATTAAAAATGAATTAATTAGTATTTTCAGATGTTCTAGGAAATGTTAGGCAATTTGTTTTTTACATTGATCCTAAATGGAATCTGAAATTTTTATTTTTTTCCAACAAAAAGTGAACTATGTCAGTCTCAAGTCTAGATGTATGATGAGGGCTGTGTCAGAAAGGGCATCTGGCCGATAACCTTTTATGGTGACCCCACAAGAAAAAGTTGAAGAGAAATGATTAGTCTTTTTCATGAACCATGCCTTTCTCTTTAGGCATGTTTCAGGTTACAGTATAAATCCAGGGTGGACCTATAGTACCTCCCTGTTTTAGTGCGTTTGACACTTTGAGTACCCTCAAAGCATTTCATACATAGTATGAATGGCCTGGGTACAGCACGCTCCTTCCCTGTGTGTCATGTTAGATTAAGCCTCTGAGGATGAACTGAACTGGAAAAAGAGGAAGTTGTTCTGCGATGATCAAAAACAAAGTGCTGCCAAAAACACAAGCCACTGTCAAAAACTGAGACAGGGGAGCGTGAACCAGGAGGGGCACAGAGTTAACAGGCACTGCTAACATGGGGGAGGGAGTGTCGTGGGAAACTGCCTACTTTTCAATGGGCCACTGCTGCTAGGATACCACGAGAACAATGCTTAGCAACCACTATAACAATGGACAGTAGCCAAAACCCCTCTCCGCGGCTCACTTAATGCTACAGTACCCTCTCTATTACATGGGTGCCAATGGGGCCCACAGCCACACTATCAAAGGAGGAGACATGGGGCTTTCAATACAGACACAGTCAAAAGTGTGTTGGGCCAATATGGGAAGAGCCCTACAGAATACAAGAGTCAGAGCACAGTGGACGGGGGAAACTCATACAAACTACTACTACAGGATCAAGTCAAGGGCAAGCAAATAGTAAGGGCTTTTGCCTTTATGAATTAAACGTATGGCAGATGGAAGGTTAAAGTTGAGGTAACAAAATAACGTTGATACATAAAATGTTACTTTTGTTGTATCCTAGTTTCCCTTATTTCCATATTTCTAAAAGAACAAATCTGATATACTAAACTTAGTGCTCACAAACTGCAAAGGGATTTACTGTTATGCCATGCCTGAGTTTGTATTAAGATAGAAGGAAAAAGACACAAAACATATCCTACGATGCATTCCATCACAGTTTTTACAATGTCTTTTCAGGGTCGCTTTACAAGAATATCTCTGTGCAAAAATGAAGAAAAGCTCGCTCTCCAAAACCCCAAAATGCCAAACGGTCTGTGCATATGGTCTGAAATGTTTGTTCTCGGCAAATATATTGAGAAAACAAAGGTTTAAGTGGGGGTTACAAAATCCACTCTGTCTAAGCAGCTTGTGCCAATCGCTACTTTATGAGATTTGAACTTGGAAAAGCAATTCTCTATCTACATTGTATCTTTTCAAACAGATGAAAAAGAAAGGCAATAACTAAAAGTAAGTAGTTTGCAATGCTCGCTATTCAAAGCTTCAGTGAGTAGACACAAAGGAACCAATTATTTTAAGAGCGGAAGATGCACGACAAAGACAATTACCGCTGCTGACAAGAAAATATTTTAAAATCAAATGAACAAATAAACTATTTGGATAATTAATATTTTGCAATGTTACATGGGGAGTTGGTGTAAATAACAACTAGTGAGAACCATGGAGTAACTAAATATTCCTGTGAACTGCACTTTACCACAAAAGCGAGTTAAAAGTATTATTTTACTTTAAGAATACTGCAAACAAGGAGAATGGGTAGTGAATGGATGAAAATCAGGTCAAGGCAAAGAAAAGACATTCTTCAAACCCCCAAGTAAACTCTAACCTAGACATAGGACGATCATGATTATCATGGCTAAAATAATTGCGATTAAAGATCACATCACGATAACTATTAAAGTTGCTCACAGTCTAAAAAGTTACATATTAATAATTATAATTTTAATATTACAAATAAGTTCCATATTTAAACAGCTGTTATAATATTGTACTTTGTTCTAAGTGAAAACAATAATGATCTAGGAGAAAACATCATGGCTAACAAGCTTTTTTCATCACATTCCAGTGATAAAATGTTTTTATTATTATTATCTTTGTTGGTGATTATCACAATTATATAAAATGTCCCATGAACAATTATTGCTTACCTTTTTTACCATAATAAATGATATTATTGTTTATTGTCCCATCCCTATCCTAACCTAAATAAGTATTCATATTATGTGCATACTTACAGAGAGTCTGTGCCAAGGATCATGAGAACCTTCTCCCCTGAGTGGTTGCTCCTGAAGTTGAGTTTGAATAGGTGGTTGGTGCCCTGTTTGGAGCTGAGCATGCTGGTGGTACTTCGGACTGGAGACAGGCTCACGTCCTCTGGCAGACAGGAACCCACCCAGATCTCATCTCTCAAAGCGTAGTCAATGACAGTGTAGCTCTCCTCGCTGGAAGACAAACAGACAGATTAGGCTGTGGACAGATGCAGTAAACCACAGACAAGACATGTATTAACATTGTTGGCGCTGATGAGTAACAAAATTTGAAAAACAGACTATTATGTAATACAGTAGTTGACAGTTGCCTTATGTGACTTGTATTTGTTTGGTCGTTTGTTTTTCAGTATTAATACTTGTTCAAATAAGTCTCTAGTTTTGATACAAATTTTTGTATCAATGCTACATCAATCCTAGTTCTAACAGCGGTTCTCAACTGCTGTGATGATGATCAATTTCTTTCATGTTATTATCCATTTTGATGTTATTATCAATTTTTTATAGAACCAAAGTTAGATTAACATATTATTACAATCCACCTGCTGGCATTTAGGATACTGGTCCCTCTGGACCAATATTGCCCCCCTTTGCAAACTATAAAATAATCCTCTGTACCTTGGCTTTGATCAAAATACAAGATATGGCCTCTGCTCATTGGTTGCAATTTTTTCCTGCAAGCCTAGCATACTTGTACACCTTTGTCTGTTGTCTATGTTACTGTAATAGAGTTTCATATCACGGATCTTTCAGTACAAAAATACTGCATTCACTCTGAGTTGCATGAATTACACGCAGTTCATGAAAAACATCTGGAGCTGGTTGTGAAACGTGGGACCACTGAAGCAGGAAAAAACGTGTGTGTTTTTATAGCATTCAAAAGAACAGGAGCTTGGCCTCAGCCCACATGGGTTTTATCAAGCCAGAGATATATCGACAGACAGCGCAAGGCTACTGGACACACTAGGTTCAGTACATTACATGTCCAAGCTCCACACACAAATGCAGACATACAAAGGAAGGAGTTAAACAAACAGTTGTGAGTGGTGGATTTGTCTGAGGTGTCATGACTGAGCAGACATACCCCATTTACGTTTGGCAGCTTTTCAACAAGGTTCAAATGTTAGCAGTGAGCCCTGATTGTGCTTAAATCCATCAAGTAAAAACATTAAAGAAAAGAGGTACAAGACACTCAAAACTATATTTTAAGTGAGTTGAGAGATGTATTGATTGTGAAAACTGTTTTTAAAGGGGCAATTTTACTAACTAATACAAAAAAAGTAAATTCTGTGACAAAACAGGATGCATATTAAAACTGTTACATAACTTTCTTAGTTTAGTCTTACCTGGAGTAGCCACAGTCATATTATGTATAGGGTTTAACCATAGCAAAATAGGAATCTCAAAATATAAAGACCTTCAAAAACTATTTAAAGGCAGTTGACTGATCTGAAGATTGAGATAAGCGTTTAGGTGAATGAAGGCAGAAGACTTGGAGCGTAGAAGATCTAAGATTATAAGTCAGCCCTACAGGTAAAATACCTCCAATACCATTTACATGACACTATGAGAGAAAGAGGTGGGGGTGGGTGCTTATAGGGTGATTTACGTTAACTTGGGTACTGTGTCATGCAGGAGTGGAAGAAGTACTGCACATTGCCTTGACCCCACAAACATTTTTAAAAAGTATTGAGTATAAAATTAACAAGAAAGTACAGTGAATATTAGACACTCCGCAGTCCGCACCCTAAATGTTTTATAATAATAACAATACAAAAAAACTATTCTTGGTAAAAATGTGTAAAATACTTAAACAAAAACCTGTCTGTAACTGTCTAACCATGTTCCAGGAATGAAAAGCACGAGTCTGTTAGAGATAGCGTAGGCATCTAACAGACGTCATCACCGTCACCCAGGTTACTGTCAATTGGTTCAACCTGTTCCTCAACATGCACTTCAAACAACCAGCTCATGACTGGGTATCTATGCCTTTTATAATACCAACCAAAGGAAGCAAATTAATAGTTAGGGCTGCGTACTTGAATTAAGATCAAATCATTTTGAACGTCAATGGTTAACGGTCACATTTTAATATTTTCCACCTTCAAGGTACTCAAAGCACTTTTACATCAAGAAACCACTCACCCATTCACACACACGTTCATCACTGTACACAGACACTGGGGGGAATTAAGTACCTTACCCAAGTAAGTACCTTACCCAAGTAAGTACCTTGCCCAAGGACACAATGACCGCATTCATCTGCAATCACACCGCCAACCTGTGGGTCAATGGATCTGACCGCTCAACCAATGATTTTTATGTCGATCGGATCAACTAACTGACCTATTGTAGCCAATGATGTTCTTGGGTCTTTTTTTAATACAGAGGTCTACGGCCAATAGTCTGTCAGTAACAACATATGTTTTGGACCAGAGTTCCTTCTGGAGGAAGGAATTTAGTGTTAAATGGCAGTGATTAAAAGTCTGTCTTGTTTATGTTCAGAAAATCAAATTGAAAAGACTGCTCAATATGAACAAAAAAACATCACATATTGCTTGGCCCTACTGTGGGCCTTACTTCTTTACCATAGAACAGAACTAAACTTGGTTATCCAGGAAGAATTTGATATTTCGATCGTGACCAGGATCCCAGAGGAGAAGGCGGGATGTGGGGGGATATGGAGTGTGAGAGAGGAGCCAGCTGTAGTGGACTTACTGTTATGTAAGTGTTCCTGTAACAGTGAACAAGCAGCTCAGCACTTCTGTCTGCATCATGACAAAACACACAAACCAAAACTATAGATGAAAATAATTATAACAAATTCATTTCTTATCATTGACATGAAAAATGTCATTGAATTCCTCCCCTTCTTAACCAAATAATGTAATATGTAATTTGTACAACAACAGAATAATCATTAACTACATCCACATACTGATACTGGACCTGAAACTGGGCACAAGATTTAATCTCAAGGTCCGCTGATTTATATAACCAAAGTTTATCATTTTTTTATTCATCATTCATTAAATCAACCCAGTACAAATATTTCAACTCCCTAGCTACATACAAGCGTTTCATGGGCCAGTACTCACATAAACCATTAAACCACAGCGAAGGGGAGAGGGCTATTGTAGAGTGATGTCTACATTGGGCTTGTGACTGACCACTGTCCAGCCCTGGGGTTTTGTTTCATTTGTGGAATTGCAGCATTTTGGAGTAGCATGCCACTGTCACATGAGCAGCACAAACTAATATTATAACAGCTTTTCCGATTGGACAGCACATAATAATAACTCCAAAGAACTCCCTTTTTGCCAGATCACAACAGCACACACACGTACACATGACTAAAGTCCAGGCTGGTCTAGATCAAATTCCAAGAAAAAAAGCACATGGAATGTTTTTAATGTTTCTGTGGAATTTTGAGTGTAAAGGCAAAGGGGAAAAAATCAATCCCAGGCACAGATCAGGGTGAGCGAGACTCTGGACATGGTTAGATGGGAACCATGTGACTTATATAAAATGTCAGAGATACACAGATGTTTTTTTTTTCTTTTTTTTTTTTTTTTTTTCAATTTAATATACCTTTGACTGTTTAAGGTATTAAGCACATGACACGGGATTGGATTATACCAGTTAATGAGAATGTACCATAGGTTTACTAAAGCAGATGCACACACTAATACATCTAGTCAACATAATTTAATTTCAAAACCTTAAATGTTGCCTCTCTTCTCCAGGATATTGGCTGTAGGAACTTCTAATATATTCCACCAACAAGCATGTGTATATATATATATATATATATATATATATATATATATATATATATATATATATAAATTCACCTCACATTGAGGTGAGGTCATGCTTGGTTGCTATATTATGCTCTAATAGCTCTAATGACCTTTTTGGCAATTACTTAATAATTGCAAAATAATACAAATTCATATAACCACCGTTTTCTTTTTTTTCTTTTTAGTTACATCCTTTTTTCAGCCCATGATAACAATTTTCCACAACAGGTTAAGACATGAAGCTTGTATGGAAAATCTCACACTGATCTTTGGGTCACAGGCTCACACCTCATCCAGACCAGGTTTCAGGCTAGACTTTCACTACCTGCATGTCCTAACAGGTAAGATATGTACAACAGAACAAGAGGAGCATAATAAAGCAGGCCTCACCTCTTCTTCTTGGTGACGATTAGGACATCATTAAACAGGAAGAAGTAGACCTGTTGCCGTGATGTCCGTTTAAGAAAGATACCGCTGTCTTCTACAAATGCAGTCAGCTCTCCTCTTTTTACCATCCATCTTGAGGACGAGACCAGGGGAAAGGGCTGGAGAAAAAAAAGACTATTAATATTATTACTTAAATGTAAGAAATTACATATATACATATTACAACAAAGCTGAAATAAAAATAGAAAATGATTCTGTCAGAAAAAATATCACAACTTTAAAACTGGCAGGCTTATTTTATGATGATGATGATAATCTCTTATGGATCTTCTTTGCATTCTGTTATTTGGAGAACTTAACAATGGCTTTTGACAATAATAACAGGAAACAAAATATAATCAAATATATTTTATCAAGAGTTTAAAAATGTGCTAAAATGTCAATACTCATCTTTATTGTGAAATGAAATTAATAAAATATCTGTAAAATGTTCAGCATTTCAGTAATTTTCTTAATACTGTGTTCTATTGTGCAGAAAATATGTGAATTATGACATTTGTAAGCCAATAAATTTCTTTTTTAAACACAAAGTCCTAACTTTTTGGGATTGTACATCGTTATTACCATAAATTTTCCAGCTTAATCAAAACGCCAAAACTCAACAACAATCCATTTTGCAACAGCTGTGGATGCAACAAGTGGATATTACAAGACATCTGTGGATTGCAATCGTTCCAGCAGCTTGTTCCCACACTGGAGCAGCCAAGAGTTATGGTTACAGACACCAGCCCAGTGACAGCACATAGCACAACTGAGTTCAGTAAGGTTTATGGGGTCATTCAGTGTGCATTCAGTGTGGAGTTATCCAGGGGCGTACCTTAATTTTGAACTCTAGTTGAGAGTTGATGGTGTACATCATCTCCGTTCTCTCCATGGTGCGAGCTCCTTCATTACACTTCCTCACCACCTGAAACATGCCCAAAAACCAGGATGCTGACAAAATCACTGATAATCAAAATTCTAGCAATGACAAAAAACACTATGTTAAAACTAGTATATACTAATATATACTTATATTATATCCACTATAAAACTGTATTAAAAGTTGATATTCTGTTTATATTTAAAGAGAGAGCGAGAGATATTTTATTGATCCTGTGAGAAATTCAAGTTGTTCACTGCACCGTTTTTATCAGCTTTTGATCTTTATTTTAGTATTTAATAAATATAATATTGTATTTTCAAACTCTCTTTTGAAATTGCACTTTATTTTGCACTATTGTAAATTGAGTCTAAATCTGTGCAATAAAAAATACATATTTGAAACTATTCCTTACAAAAAATTTACCTTCAGGGACATAGTTACTGACCTTGCTAACAGCTTGCAAAGCCTTTTTACATTCCTCATACTGCGCTGAATCTTTAGGTGTCTTGTGGCAAATAGTCTGCAAAACAAGAAATAAGGAAAATATGGTCAGTACCACATAAAGCTATTATATTTTACTATTACACATTTAGGACAATGCATGTTAGCCCTTACTCACCCCACTATCAAGGGTGAGATAAACATTTGGGCTGTGGGAACAATCGACGTGAAACTAAACATTCTCATGGTCCTCGAGTTTGTGAGTGTCCACACATAAGCCTCACAGTCTCCAGAGAGAGATAGTGTCGAAGGGGGGAGGCTGGGTCAGTGGACAGGGGACACGAGGGGAGGAGGGGAAAGAATCAGAGTGTAGTTGTGCCAAAGCAAGCACAGAAAGAGTGGTGTGAAATGTGATTGGAACAGTAGTAGGCAATGAAGTTGGGTCAGACATGTGTCCAAAAGGTTAGGGAGTTAAAAGGCAGAACAGTGTGGTCCAGTAGAGTTGAGGTTGTTCAAACACAGTTGCATAAGAGCCAGTGGTATGAGGTGAATGCACTGACATCCATGAGGAGGGGCAGTCGGGTGATCCTCTGCATGGGAAGAATCAGGAAGGAGATCATAGGGAGGTTTCTGCAGTCTGGGTCGCTCTCGATCCTGGTCAGCACCTCCTTAAAAGCCGGATTCTTCGACCTGTAGTAGTACAAGTGGATCTGATTATTTACAAATGTTTACATAGGCCACACATCATTTATATACTTTTTATTGTTTGGTTTTGTGTAATTTGTAAACAAGTGCATATAGTAAGTAATAATATATATTAGCATCAAGGGGTATGAATTCATGGGGTTACAATTTGAATGAGAACAGATTTTTTTATTCAGAACAATTAAGGTTGCAACAATTAAGATCTTTTATAGCCAGTGTGCCAAATGATCCTAAACACATCCTTTAGTTTGGCCACGTAAGACCATACTAGGAAGGGTGAATTCATACAACATAAATGCATGAGAACATCAGTACACTTCAGGATCTTGATTCTTGCCATCATTCTTTTTTTTTTTTTTTTAAATCACACTATTTAATGAGAGTAATTGTCTAATTTGTGATAATTTGCCAAAAAATATGCTCCTTTGTAACAGATATATGAGAATAAGCCTGGCCTGCAAATTAAAATATCAACTTATCGTACAATGTATGAGAGCTGGGACTTTTTGGTCAATATTTATAGTTTTGCTTTTGTTTTTTATGTAAGAGAAGTAAGATTTGAGCTCTAAAGTGGAGAATAAATAACTTGGCTAATTATAGGCTTATTTTCCTGTTTACTTGTTGTAGTCTATTTAAAATGGGTTTACTAGAATTATCCTGTTTTGTGTCAGTGGCATAAAGCAGTTTCAATATTCTCATTTATCGCAATATTTCTCTACTTTAAAATGTGTTAGCGTGACAGCCCTATATGAGATGATCCTTTGAATGGATTAGATGTAAGGTTGGGTTAATATTACTCACACAAGCCTCTGTAGAGTCCGCTGCTGGTACACCTCATTGGAGCAGTAGGTGATATACGGATCGAAGTTGGACTCAGCGTGTTTACAGACAATATCACTGATGTCATGGATGACTATACTCTGCTGATGTCTTTCTTCCAGCTCACTGAAAAATCTAACAAATCATAAACTATCATGAGTGTGATTATAGCAATAAAATGAGTCAAAGCCACTGAAAGTTGTGTCACAATCACCAGTGAAACATAGGAATAGGAACAGACACAAAGTCAGGAAATCAGGAAGCTTCGCTAACACATTTCAACATCCCAAAGGAAGACGTCCACATAGTTTAAAAATAGACACCCACAACATAGTGTCTTTTCCTCTTCCTGTACACCACCAGATGGAAGCTTTAACAGCAGACCAAATGGCTTGCTTCAATAAATGTAGTCTGTGCACCAAATGACAAACAGGAAATTGTCAAACACACCCTGAACATTGAACTTCGACTGCTTTGTGATCCTATATAAAAGCCACTTTTCATGAAAAAAGAAAAATGTATTATGACAGAAGCTAACCTCACCCCATGTGACCTCTCCTTTGCAAAACATGAATGTATAGGAGAAGACAAAATACTCTTCGTTTGACCCTTAACCTGTGTTTTCCAAAGGGAGATCAAAAGGTCAAGGATGTTCAGGTTCAGCTGTTGAGGAAGAAACAGCAACTACTAATAGAAAACCTAGGTTTTAAAGCTGCTTGGTTAAAAAGCAGATGTAAAAATAGATTTAAATCCACATGAAAAACATACAGTGATATAAATGACATGAAGTATATGTGCTTTCTGGCTTAGTTTCACTGATACTATTTTATATTGTAAGCCATTGGCCAGAGGCCAGAAGTCAGAAGTACAGCTGCATACAAAACAATTCACCATCAAGCACATAGTAGGTCATACGCCCTTCTGATACTATCCACAATACAGTAGAGCACCAGGGTAATTACCACTGATAGTACAACCAGTACTACAGCCTATTTCAAATATTAATGAAGCAAATTCCCTGTGTTCTGCAAATGTGGCATTCACTAAAAGATCAAATCAACTAAAACATTAATCTGAAGATAATTATCGGCATTGATGACATTCTTCAAACTTGATTCAAAGTTCACCATTTATCCAGGCCTGGGACTGATTAAATTTATTCTTGTCTGCATGTACTATTCTAGTAGTACTATACTAAGGTGTTAATAATGACAGTTGCTTACTTTTTACTGGCTTCGCAGACGTCTGTTATATTGGAGAAGAGGTGGTGGTGCTCAGTCTTGGTCATGGCCTCACTCAGCTCTGTGGAGTTCTTGAACATTCGGATCAGGACCTCCAGACTGTGGAGGTATGAATGCTCAGAGGAGATCACTTCAAAGATGGCCTGGGCAAAAACAAAACAGCAGGAAGAATTAGACATTATTCAACACAGTTTAGTTTTGCTGGTAGTTTTTCAATTGCTGCCAACAGCAAAGACAGAAGTTAATTGCCATTTAACACATCTTATCTGCCTATGAATAGTATAGCAACAGTTTTTCCCATAAATTCCAGAAAATTAAGTGAGTAAAAAAAAATTTCATCTGAAGAATTTAATCTCATACAATTTGGTCTCTGGAGTATAAATACTGCATATTGTCTATATATATAATGTTAAAGAAGTCCTTTTTTCCAGTACAGTTACTTTGAAATAATAATACAGTGGACAAAAAAGCGTGCTTTTTTTGTCAATATTTAGTCCATATTGTCTCTTTTAGAAGTTTAGTCACCATAGTCTCCTCTATTAAAGGTCCTATATTGTGTGTGAGCTTTAAGTCGTGTTGAAATATTGTAATCTCAAAAACATACCTGGAGCTGGGTTTTGTTTCTTTCACACACATACATCTAAAAAGCTCAAAATGCTCTCTTCCACCTTGTGATGTCATGACGTTAACAGCTATCATTTAGCTCTCTTTTAGTTCAGTTTAGGGATTGGGGTGATGACAATATCCAAATGATTCTAGTGAAGATGTATGGAGTTTAAAAACACAATGGAGCACTTCCTGTATTACCATGACATCACAAGGTGGAAGAGAATGTTTTCTGTTAGAGAGAAGAACTCAGCCTAAATATGCAGGTATGTTTTAGACGAGGAAACAACATTATAACATAGATCAGAAAAAGCATAATATGGGCCTTTTAATGGGAGACACTGTGTTTTCTATTTGTTTTAAGACTTCCGTAGGCAGGGTTTTACCTACCTTTTGGACAAAGAACACACCAACCTGTGGCTGACTTACTTACCATGACAACACACTGTCAATAACAGATTTGTACAGACATTACTTAACATTGTACACGTCAGCGTACTCATGAATCTCTCAGTAACTCTATTAGACTTCCATTTACAGAACTTATAGCAAGGTTTATATGTCTACCCTCCTTTGAGACTGAACAATGTTTTGCTTTAAAATCTGTTCAGACCTTCTTAAATGGTTATTTTACTGGGCTAGTGAACATAATAGCCACCAAAAGAACGCTAATTCTTTGTTTAAATGCCTTGGACTGAAGGTGACCCCACCTAATGTAAGATATTATTTCTACCTCTTGTCTCTTACGTTCCTCTTGAGTTAAGCGTTCAGACAGGCCACTTTTCTTCACCTAAATCGAAACAGAAACACAGAGTCAATTCACGTTTATTTTGATTTGGAAACCTTGGCGGACTTTTTGGGGTCAGGAGTTCTTGCATTTATAGTAAAGGGGTGTGCACATGTCTGACTGCCAGTTGTCTCCACGCACAATGAAAGAAAGCACTCTGCATTCCTCTCGACTCAAGACCCATTATAACGCTTCTGAAAAACAAGCACTAAATAATTTGCTGAATAATTACGGCTTTGAATTTGGGAACAAGCTGTGCCAATATCGCTCTGCTAAGTCACTAAGGAGCCAGTACAAACAGAAATTAAATACTTTGAATGCCCTGTTCTTAATTTAGGGTGTTTTTCTGGTGGGCTGATGGTTGAAGCTGTAGTACTTGGCAAAGAGCTCTCCTTTAATGCTTCTAGTGCTATCACGATATTAATATTTCCAATTTCGGTACTAATTATTAGGCTTGACACTCTTTTTTTGATACCACAATAATATAAAAACACTCCTTTATAAACTATTTTCAGCAAAAACAATAGTATTTTCTTTAACATTACCATGTGGTCTTACAGTAGTTTTTAGAAAGAAACCTAAAATCCTAAAATTGAAAACTGTTCAGTAAAAATTCAAATTTGTTCAGTTTTTTATCAATACCTGTTCCAATGAGTATCTTGTTTCAATACTAGTTTTAGCATTGATTAATGTGCAGTACTTTTGGCATCCCTGAATGTTACAAACTCAGTGCATTTTATTTTGAAAATTTTGAAAGTTCTATCTTTCGAGGAGAAAACCTGCTGGACATCCAATCTATCATGAGGATACCACTCAGCAAACACTCACTGCAAATAAGCAGCAAACCAAACAGCTCTTGCAGTCTGTAAACATCTCCCTTATTTACCTCACCACTATCGGGTTAGCTATATATCTATGCCATCTCCTCTGAACTTTATTCTTCCTTGTAATTGTAGGGTGAAGTTCTGATACTATCAACTTTACTATTATAAGATGGTTTAAAAGAAGACACAAAACATATCAGATGCTAAACTGAAAGCAGCATGTGATGTCGTGCTATGTGACAGGGGCAGGGCACAGTGTTAAAGGACCTGTCAGTAAAGTAAAGACATACATCGGAACCTGCTCCTCTGGTTTGGTTTATTATGTAATAGACTTGTCAGATTAGAGATGTAAAAACTGAACTAAACATAGACTGAATGAGGACCAGACCAAAACAGAACAAGGACTAAAACAGGTCTAAGTTGACAGAAGATTTTTTAGAAACATTTTCATCTTTGCACTGTTTCTCCTTTGGACCTCTTTATGATTTGTATTACTACATTTCTATATTTTATTTTTACATGTACATATACATATATAAGTATGTCTTATCTGACAACAGCCTCTTGCTATTTTTGCAAATTATTTAGAATTTATTTTAACCATATATATTTTTGATCTTTGTTATAATAATATATTGTGATGTTATTATAATTTCCCTTGTGGATCTATAAAGTTTGTCTAAGTCTAAGTCTAAGTGATCCCTTTATATTCATTGATGATTTTTTGCACTAAGCTCATAGACTGATGGGATTCAAAAATACTCGCAAATCATGTATTGTATATTAACTCAATCTGTAAATGTATGAATCTTTTTGTCTTCAATCTCTCTCTTTCCCTTTACAAAATTATGTCATGCTGAATGCTTAAAGTCTTTCTGGAGGCTACATTCTGAGCATAGTTTGTGTGTTGGCACTATTCCCAGGAGCTCTCCAAGACTTCCTGTAGGCCTGCCTGCCTCCGTGCCCAACACACTCCTAGACTTCAGACTCCCTCCATATAACTCCCTGATGAACAGCGAGAGGGGCAGAGACTATGGGGAGGATGGGTATGCAGTGTACTATGACTAAACTGGATACAGCAGCATTCCATGGATCCATAGCATTCCAGTGTATAGTGGGTATACAGTAGTGTGTGTTTAGTGGTGGTGAAACCATCTATCTATTCCTAAGTGTGTGGGTGGGTATTTATTGCACTGTAGGGATTCAAGTCAGTAAACACACTTGATTCATCAGGACTTACTACCGTTATTAGAACAATTTGGTTCCCATGACGCAAATATTGTATTATTACAGAAACGTAATGGTTTAAAGTTCAGAGTTAAAATTAGGCCAGTCACAATAACAAGTACTGAAGAGCAATACGTTGCTGAAGTAAATATAGATAATTAACGATAATATTGACATCATAAAACAGAATAATCCCCAAAAAGTATTCTAAATGTACAAAATTGTGAAACAATAGCAATAAAATAAATAGCAGAATACAACACTTACATAGTTAATTTGTGTCTATAATGAGTCCTAGAAGTTCAGAATTCAACCTTTTACAGCTCAAATTATTGTGGCACAGAAAAATAACCAATTTTTTTTCCAGTAGTGCAACAAAAAAGTACCCATGAAAAAGTACGACCCCCAAAAAGTATTGTTCCATCTGTCTTGTATTGAACGATAAGTCCACACAGTATTTATCGTGACAGGCCTAGTTAAAATAAGTTTAGGTTAGGGTTAAGGGTTAGATTAAGGTTAAGCATATAGCATTAAGGTTATGTTAAGGTTATGATTAGTCTAGAGGAAATGAATGCCAGTCAATGTAAAGTCCCAAAACAGATGTAAACCCAACATGTGCGTGTGTGTTATGTCTGACCACACTGAGCTGGCTCCAGGAGGTGCGCAGGGGCTTGTACTGCACCACGATGTTGTTGTCAGGTTCGGGCTCTCTGGAATCAGCATCCTCATCAGAATCATTATGCAAGGCCTTTTCCTGGTAGTTCTGGTACAACTCCTCCTCTGAAATTTGCATTTTTGACATTCAGTACAGAACTGAAATAGTCATTGTCAAGGTAAATGGTCATAAATAATAAATGATGAGTTTCTTAATAGAAAATACACAATATTTTGGTCCTTGGTAAGAACATCTGCTCAATCTCAGTGTTTTCAAAACTTTGCCACAATATTGCAAAATGAAATTGCAACAAGATTGTGCCCACATGAAGGAAATTATCTCATGAAATTAAGTGCTGGTGATTTGCATCTTTTGAGAAACAGTAGTTAAAAAGCTGTGCTACCTTTACAGCAAAAATCTAAACTAAAATAACTCATTGTGAACAGAATCAGATAATTTATGTATTACAAATTAAGGGAAAATGTCTCATCTTGTGAGATTAGTGTCCCTACCATGCAATATAAATATGGGTTTCTCACCTTCACTATCAAATGTTCGCTGGCTGGTCAGTACATTCTTCTTCTCCGGGCTTATCTACAAAAGCATAACAGCCCTTCATTTACATATTGTACATTTAATGAGAATCACCGTAGGACTGTAACAAACCTTAATTTTTCCTTTGCTTGGTGGTTTTGCTGTCCCAGGGCTGGATGGTTTCATTGTTTTGGGACTTGCAAGTGCAAGAAGTTTTGGAGTACTAGGAGATTTTGGACTAGTTGGGCTTGCATTGGTATTGCTTGTTGGACTAGTTGGTGAAGCTGTCTTCTCCCTATTTAGTCCTTTGATGACAGCTTGTGACAGTTGTAAACCTTTAGCTTCCAGAGAGATCCCATCCACCTCATCCACTCCACTGACCACTGCCTTTCTGTAGGAGGTACTCCTCAGGCCTCTCCTCAGAGTTCCCGGGCTATCTCCATCCTCCTCTTCCTGTCTCTGCGCCCCTGTTGAAAAATAAGCTCCTGTTTCTACCATGCTCAGAGCTTTTGTCGACCGCTTGGTGTGGTCCAGCCCCAGCAGAGCGGCTAACCCTTGGCCTTGGGTCCCGGCAGGAGAGGCCCCTTTGCTTTGTCGCACTTCACACGCCAAACCTTTGGGGATAAGCTGCTGGGTGCCCATCTTCCGAGCGGCCGGGCTGTTGGTGCTGAGGACAATGGGTGGCGGAGGAGAGATGGACGGAGAGGTAGAGGAAGATGAGGAATGACGTGATTCAGAGACAGAGCATTTGCTTTGTGTCCTGTCTGGTGAGGAAGAGCGTGGGGTTGGGGGGTCCGAGGAGTTGAGAGAGGACAGAGATGGGATGCTGGATGTGGAGCTATGGGACGGGGTGGGGGTACGACAAAGCGGAGAGGAGTTTGATGATGAAGATGACAGTTCATGATAGCTGTTACCATTTGGAGTTTGTGGGGGAGGGACAGAAGAGTGAATGTCAGATGTACTTAATGTATCTTTTTGTGAGTTCAGTTGTCCGGATAGCCTCTTCTTTTCAGGCCATACCGTCATACCATTATTATATTTCCCTTTGTTAGATTCCCCATTACAAATCCTATTATCCAGGGAGGCAGATCTATTATCCTCAGATCTAAATTTCGGAAGTGAGAAGCGTCCATTGGAAAAGTGCCCGATGCTGATGCTACGAACAACGCGGTTCTTTTTGGCAGGTTTGTTGAGCACATGCTTGAGCACTGTTGTGGTGGGAGTGGGTGTCGCCAGTATCCTTTCATCAGGTTGGCTCAAAGTAAAAGAGCACTTGTCCTCCACAGGGAAGTCCGTCGTCATGACCCCGTTGATGTGATAGCTGACTGGTCGCGGTTTAGTGTTTCGTGAGATTTGGGGACTTCGGCAGTTATCTGAGCGCCTTCTCCACAAAGGGGTAATGTTGTTGTTAGATAAGTCCACATCATTGCCAAAATCCATGTTCCTTCAGATGTTGTGTCCTCTTCACTTTATTAAGTCCTGCACATAAACACAAAAAGGAAATTCAGGTCACAAGAACTTTAGTGGTGAATCTTATCAGTCAGTGTTTACTGATTAACTTGATGAAACTTGATGACAGCAGCTACAGCAAGAGCGCAAACAAGTGCTCAAAACAATAGAAAGACTGGTTATTATTAATTCTATTGTAACTGCTCATTGATGTAAAATGACCCAATTACAAGTAAACTGTCACCAATATGTACGCAACACGTAATAATGGAAAGAATTTAGAGATGTTTTCATACTTTATTTGGGTGTTTAAACTATAACTTAGCGCACAAGAAAGGAAATAAAATAAGTAAACTTGAAGCCTACCTCTATTCAGTGGGTTTTCCACACAGCGCTGCCATTGTTTGGTGGCATAAAGGTGACATAAAGATGACTTGAGTTTATCGTTAAAATCCAGACAGACCGAAATTCAGGGTGCGCGAAGTGGAACGCGTCTGGTGCGCTTTGGCTCAAGAGAGAAGAAACCTCTTTGACATAAACAGGAGGAGGAGAAAAGAGGAGGGAAGAGCCAGCCGGGCCACAGCAGAGCGCAGTGGTTCACACGAGGAATTCACCTGTCAGACAACAGACGTGCCTGCATCGAGGAGTTAGGGAGTGGAAACACAAATCACGTGGGAAAAAAGTGGTAAGGTTAACTTAAAGTTGGTAAACTGTAACATTCAAGTCAACTGGGCTACCAATTTTCGAAATGTTTGTAAGGCTGAAACTTTTTGTGGCTACTTTAATAGTAGTAGTGTAACAATATACAACATCAATATAAGTAGACAAACTTTGAATATTATGCCTACCTCAGTTTACGTGGCAGATCCTGAGAAAGAGATACACAAGAGGGTCTGACTCGCCTGGCTGTAGCGCAAAACTTTTTTCCTTGGCATTTCATTTATCCAGGTTCTCTGTGGCGCCACCTTGTGTTCAAGAGGCAAATATAAAATATAAAACGTTTGAAATATAAATTGGACTATAAATAATATCTAAAATAATAATCTTCTTCCATAAGTGTCTGTTGGTTTGTTTAAAATCTAATTAGATGCCCAGATTCATAATGTTTCACAAAGCTAATAAACTGTGGTGAAATAACTGTGGTTTATTCATATGAGTCGGAAAAACACTATTGTGAAAGATAGTTGTTTTCCAATTACATAATAAACAGTTAGGCATGGCCCTATTGACTGTGGTAAAGAATAGATTAGTCACACATACACACCAAACATGTTTGCCCCTTGGATTTATTAAGGTTTGGCCTCTTATAAAGGTTTCGAGCAATGTTTTGTATATTGCGCCCCCAAGTGTTTCACAAATGTCAGTGAAATATGGATTTAAAAGCCTTAAATTGCAGTTGGAATTATGCAATCAATTATGTGGCTTTTTGTCACTGGCAATTATTATGGTGTTTTTGTAAAATGAACCATTAGAAAGAACCTGCAATGAAGTGAATCAGCCTAAGGACAAACACACCTTTGATCCAGAATAAAATAAAACGTAGGCTTATTTCAGCAAACGCTACACTAAGCCTCTCTGCCTCCCTCTTGTGACAGGTTTCGGAGTGATTGGGCAGAAAGTTTAACCTTGCGCAGTGATTCAGAGTGACACATACCAATTTGGCGTGAGCCAGGTTAGAGAAAGTTCATTTACAGTGAAATTATTGCTATATGCGTGATGTAGGCCTGTGATTGTGTGTGTGTTTTCCCTCTTTATATATAATACAGAAATATATAGTCAAAGGCTTAAGGAGAGAACATGGACTATATAATAAAAGGCAAGTGTCAAGGCTGACACATTCCATAATCACAGTGTAAAACCTAACAAAATTAAACTAAAGGTTGTTGCAGAAAACCTGGTTAAATCTATGCATTTTTGTGTTTTCCTAAATCCATTTCCACTGAGCACATTGCCCCGATATAAAATCTGTTTTAATCAATATATCAAAATAAGGCATGCAGAAATCATTTGCACTCAGACTCTGGTGCCATTTTTACAAGAGCCCTCGACACTAGCCTTTCCTTATCAAAATGTTTATCTCCCCAATGACTCAGAGCTTATTGTAGTCAGCAGTAATGTTAACTGTACAGAATCCTGGTCCCCCCCTCCCCTCTCTCTCTCAGTCTCACCACCACCCACACATCTCACCATCTACAGAGAATAAAACAGAAAATCTCCACTAGATGGGATCACAAATTGCAGTCTACAGAAGACATATCAGACCAGAAATGTGGGCTTCTCAAACTCCCCATGTAAACTGTGAGGGTATGACTTTTGTTTGATGCTTTAATCCCTCAGGCCTGTTAAATGTATGTCATCAAATACATATGGAGCAACAAAGGTGGCATCTGTCACATATAGTTGAACCTGTGCTAATCACCATGGTTACGAGTCGTCTGTGCTGATTGGCTGACAAAACTGCAGTGACCCATGAGTGACTCCCCTTGTGGGCCTCATTGGATCATTGCCGCAGGACGATGGTGTTTATTGTGTGACAGATTTGCATAGAGTTTATGCATGATATTTATTTGCAGTGGATTTATTTTGTATTAAAGGTGTACTATGTAACTTTTCTGGTGGATGGTTTCCTTGAAGATGTACGTGTAATCCCTCAATTCTTCAGGTAGGATCTATAGAAAAATTATTGAATATTTATTTTGCTATCTCTCCATGGAGATGTTATTGATTTGCCTGGAATGTTCCTCAGTATGGCATTTAACTTATCCATCTGTGACATGCAGGCCAATGTGCAAGTCAGATCTGTAGAGATGTGAACCCACTCAGAATGCATGTTTTTCAAGGTTTTAGCCCCCTGTAATTGAATTAATGAGAAATGGCTGTTTAATGCAGTCACATATCAGACAGTGTAAAGGCAAGGATTTCACAATGTTACTACTACTTGATAATCATGAACAATCGTAAAATGGTGATGTTTCTTCTGCCTATAACTGCAACATTACTGCTTCAGTTGTGATACTGGCAACAAGTGCAGTTTGTGGGGAGGTGAATCTACTAAAAAGCTGTAGGTGAAATTCCTGAAAAGATATTTATGGTTATAGGGAGGAAATGGGGATACTTATGTAATAGCATTTTGAAATGAGCTGAAAAGGGTAATCTTCTTGTGTTTTTGTGTTTGTCAAACGCCCCCACCATTTCCTCCAGGGCTCCTGACTCATTCTGATCCAGTTTGTCGTCAGTGCCCCCTCTCCAATCAACTGCACCCACAAACACCACAAATGAGTGCTTAGCCAGGCCCTCCATTCAGTGAAAGTGAAATGTGTGACTGAACATGCACACACATTATGCCTATCCAAAACCAGCCTATTCTGTTGGGCGCCTGTGGGAATTTCCCCTTGTATTTTGTTGTTTGTTCATTGTCAGCTCTTTGTGTGTAGATGTGAATGTGTCTAAAACAATGACAAAATAAGCTCTCAAATGAAACATAACTGTAGCATGACACAATGAGTTGAACTCCAGAATTTCAGATAAAACCACTTTTTTAACCAAATTGGACTGTTCAAACTTAGCCTTTTCCTTGAGTGGTTGCCACAGAGTCTGCCTCCCAGTGTGCAGTGATTTGCATATTAACACTGGCTTCGCCTTTTCACTCAGAAATGGCATTAAAGGAGTGAGAGGAGATACATTAGTAGTGCACTATGTAACTTTTTGACTGGGGCTCCATCACTTTCTTGTTTCTGTGGATATGTCATTGATCTGTCTGGAATGTTCCACATGACAATTGCACAGCTCTACCTTACATTTATTAAATTACAAGTGGTTTATATCTTAAAAATACCTAGTGAGGTTACCTCTCCACAGATCTGACCAAAAAAAGTTACACAATGCAGCTTTAATGTAACCTCAAAGCTAAGATCCCAACTTTATGGCCTTTGCAAATCCTGTGGTTTAAAGCATAACTGACTTTTATGCCGTCAGATCATTGTGCCTTATCTCTAGTCAGTTAAACAGTCTTATTATGAACCTAGAACATGCTCACACATGTCAGGAAACTGTTTAGGCAAGCCATAAGATGTTTGCAATTTTGTATATAAACAGATTGGGTGGATCGTTAGGGCTATGTGAATTCATGTATTCATGCTGGGCTTCATGACTTTTTAAGTCTGTCATTGTGTAATACTCAACACTGACTATTTGGATGAATGAGAGACTGTAAAATTAAACTTTATTGTCACAAAGATCTAAAGATTTTCCCTGTTTGTCTATGTCTATTCTACTCTTGACATGGCTGTGTTGAGACATATTTGCACCATGTTATCATTAATTAGGAATAAATGCTAACCCCTGGAGACTCCTCTAACTACAACACTGGTCCCAGGGCTCTTCATTCACACACAATAGGCACACAACTTACCCTATGGTGCAGGACTGAGTCATTTAACGACTCTCCCATGACACATTAGAAATAAAGCTTCCATTTAGAGTGACAACCTTAAATTATCACATTTAAAGATACTGGATAGGGTCCTGTAAGGCACTTTATTGAGAAATTGTAATGACAGATACTTTCATGTATTACACAAAAAGAGTGCACAATAGTGTATCTGCATTCAGAAAGTTAGTTATCATGCAATTTAAAAAAAAAAAAAAATGTGTTTGTTTGTTTCAAATCATCTCCATCATTATTGATATCTATTTTTTATTATTTGGCATGGTGTATGAATTTATAGTCAGACTTAAAATATATTTTGTATATATATTGTATGTATATTGACTTCTCCTGTTTGTGAAACCCCTCACTAAATCTCTATTTCAGTCAGACATACACTGACATTGGTTGTCACTCAAACATGCTCTGGGACAGATCACTGTCTGTCTCCCCACCCACACTTCACAGCCTGCCATAAATCCACCTTTCTCTCTGTAAAACAAATCTCAGTGAGTGACAGCTTATGCTCAGCACTGTCAAACCTGTATTCTCTCTTACATTTCTATATATTTATCAACAAACTATATATATGTATTTTTTTTTAGCTTATTTCAAGCTGTTTTGCCACATATGCATCCTCTGAATGTGAATTAGTGCAAACAACATCTGCAGCAGTGACATTATCAAACCCAGCTCAGCACAGAATGTAACAAAGTGGAAATATTGCTAGCTCTACAATTGGGATTGTGTGGGGGAATCCTGTGGGACCAGAGTCAATGAGATGTTATGAAGAGGCACCATACTGGAAAAGCCATTCACCATAGCCTGATTTAAGCCATAACATGACCTCACTATGACACTGCACGAGCACAGAACACATAGAGCAGGTAGTTCAGACAGTGACCCAATCCTCTGCAGCATGACATCATCCACATGGTGTGCAAAAAGGCCAATTCATCAAGCCAAAACTGCTCTTGCAGTGTGAGTCAGTGTAGACTCTGTAATGAGAAAAAACATTTCTAAATGGGGAAGATGTAAAAATATTTTTAAATATTCATCTTGGTACTATTTTGGTCATTTTAAATGATGACTTTTCAAGGGGACACGTTATGTAAAATTACTTTTATGAGTGTTTAACCATATATTTTTCCTCTTGGCCAATATAACTTTCAGTCAATTAATTTATGTTTATGTAGTCCTGTATTTTCTTGCATTACAATTGCAATACGCGGGGTTATAATTGCTCCATAGTCATTACACTCAAGAATAAAAATCACATAAACATCTACTAATTGCTGCAGCAGAATGCCGCTGTGAGGAGGTGGGCTTCTCACTTCTGCAGTTTTGTAGAGTAAGTTTATTGAGCTGTTTCTTTTATTAAGCCATTTATTATTTTAGTTTACAGGAACTTAATGTAAAAATAATGAATCCATGTACTTATACTTTATGACTAAATACCTGAAAAAAGATTATATATCTTCTTTACAGTTGTATTTACAGTTTTGCAAGTATGGCTTCACTTTCCATACTTTCAGTTCATTGTGCCTGGTATGAGCCCGTATCAGCCCCACTGAATGTGCTGCATAATCTATGATACAAGATCCATGTAAAGGCTCACACATCAGACACCTACACAACAATAAGAGTGAGATAAGCATCTACTTAAATAGATTCTCAATGTCATTATTTTTGTAACTCACTTTTTCTCTCCAATACAAGACGCAATAAAACGCCAGAGGGTTCGGAGCAGTCTA